TCACTCTGCAGTCAACAAAGAAAAAAAGAAAATTGAGTTATTGTTGAGATGGTTCAACTTCTATTGCTATATCCCCAACATCTACCTCTGACATCCTGGGCCAACATAATAGAATAGAAAGCATTACTTTTGGTGCAACCCTCATGTATTGCTTAAATCATGTTATCAGCAAGTCAATTTTGAATATTGGTAATATATAGGTGCCACTGATGAGAAAAGAAATATTGCATTTGAGGCTCCAAAAATGTGGACACTAGATATGACATTTTTGGGAAGGACTACACATACTCAGATAGAAAGATGCTCAACTTTTAAAAAAACAAGACATACCTGGGAAGGACTGAATGAACAGTGGCTAAAATGTCATATCAAGGAGGCAACAGAACATTTGAAAATTAACCTACTAAAAGCAATATCATAAGTAGAATGCTTTGTCTTGAAAATATTGGTAAAAAGGATTAATGGCACCATCATAATAAAACCAACTGAAAACTCTCATTCTTAAATTTAAAGGTCAAATGTATGCAGTAGATACCATTTTATTGTGTCACTGATTAAAATCCAAGCACCCTATTATTTGAGTAACATCCTAAAAACTTAAAATGCATTTATTTTTTTTCCCCACCAATCTACATATTGTTTTTGGTGCTCAACAAATAGTGAGACTGATCTTGAAGGATCATATTCATTCTGTAATTTACAAATTCAGATATCAATGCAATGCTGACTATGTAGTAAGAATAGGTCAAAGTTTGGAGACCCAAATTAGCCAAAACACTCCAGTCAATATTCACAAGGAAAAGGTGGACAATGTACATAGGTATGTTAATGTATCAGGTTCAGTGATAGCTGAACATTTGATCAAAAACCAGCAATGTGCTTGGTCTTATAGCTCAGCCTTTAATGTTATATTTGTTCAACATCTGTCTATATTTATGAGATGAGGTATTGTAACTATTTACACTAGCCGAGTTTGAACTCCAGTTGAATTCATTACATTCCCTTACATGCTAATACCCTTGGGAAAAGTATGAATCTTCTTCTTCCCCCAGCTATGGGTAAATAGCAGGACAGACCATGTTCTCTAGCCTTGGATGGTAACTGGTCTACTGCACAAAGAAATGGCAACCTGTTGCATGAAAAAATCTGCCTCGTCAGTCATGTATTGAAAGATACATGATTGCCTAAGCATATATCACACGTGGCACATAACTGACTGACATTGTTCGGATTGTTGTCCTCATCTTTGTCATATTCACAAGTTTTGGCTGTTGCATGCTCTGGCTCCCAAGGACATATGGCTAAGTGGAAAAAAGCATTGGTTGAAATAATCTAGTAACTTGACCCAAAGAGTTGTGAGTTACTAAAGGGAAATAACTGAAACTGAGATATCCAGAAAAGGCATGGAACGTGGAACTAGAATAATCTACCCACTGGACTAAATAAAGAGTTTGGTTCAAAGTTTTTAGGATGTTACTCAAAGTTATATCACCTGAAGAAGTTTGGTTCAAAGTTATATCACCTGAAGAAGGCTGGACAGTACAACAACCGAAACATTGTGACCATGACAATAAAAATGAAGAAACAGTTCAAACAATGTAAATAGTGTAAATAATTATATTTATTGTTTGTATATAAAATTAGTCTGGGGTTCTACATTTTTTAGTCATTGTTCAGATTTTTTTTTTTTTTTTTTTGTCCTTGATTTTTGCCTTGATGACTGATAAACTGGTTTAGCTGTTTTTAATTATCATATTTTGGTATTACCAGTTTACGGTAATATATATATATATATATATATATATATATATATATATATATATATATATATATATATATATATTGCTGTCCTACTTTTTTTTTTTTTTCTTATGAGGTTTTAATGTCTTTTTATTGCTGTAATAAAATTTTGTACCTTCTGAAAAAATATTTTATGCACTTTCTAAATAGAGTGGTCCAAAAAAAAAAAGCAAAAATTAGAGAAAAATTTGGGGAGAATAATTTTTGTAGATTAACATTCATTAGACTTTGCTCAAGCCACAACATTTTTCAGAATTTTTAAAAAATTGATTTTTTTTTTTTTTTGCATTTTATTGATTTTGAAATTGGATCCTGTTTATAATCTAAATACAGTGAAATATCAGACATAGCTTTTATTTATAAATATCAAGTTTAAAACTGCTTACATTATTGATATCTGACCAATGTTTTGCTTAATTTTTGAATTTTTTTAAAAAGAAAATTGGGTGTTTTTTTTTTTTTTTTGTTTTTTTTTTTCTCAGCGGGAAGCACACGCATAAACATCATAAGATAATTATTTATCTTAATTAAAGACTAAATGGATACTTTTACTTTATGTAAACTTTTGTCCCTTAATTAAAAATATATATACCTATACTTTTTGTTAAAAAAGAAAAAAATGTTTTCTATGCAGGACAGCTAAGTTCAAATAGCTGTTTAAAAAAAAAAAAAAAAAAATCGAGGATCTGTTTTACACTGAATCGATATTATGAACATGGCTCCCCTCCTCCTTTCTAAAATTAAAAAAAAAAATCAATAGTTTTCAATCCTGACAAATGCCACACTTTCAGGAAGGTCTAAGTAATGCTAATCTATGAAAATTATTTCCCAAAAGATTTTTTTGGGACCAATCAATAGCGTGGCTGCGATGGATAAATTGTCGTCTAAATTATGCAAAAATGAAAATAACACTGACATCTCTTGCAACACTTCTGGATGGTCTCCTTATTTAAATTGGTAAGTGCTGCCTTCAGTTCATCTTTGGTGTTACAAGAAGTTTTGTTTGTATCTCACTCAACTGCACCCCACACATAATAATCAAGGGGGTTGAAATCTGGGGAGTTAAGTGGAGTGATATAAGGGTGGATGTGGCTGCAGAAATTGTCTGACAGCCATGATTGGGTTCTCTGTGGCTTGTGTGGCATGGTTCAGAGTCCTGTTGCCAGATATAGGGTTTTTCCAGCAGCCACCCTGTTGATCCAGGCCAGCACTACCTCCTCAAGGTGAATGGAGGCATAACATTGCCATCACTAGTGATCACTCCAAACATTTTCGTAATCACCTTAGATTCCCCCAACTCTTTCCGAATACCTCTGCACCATCCTCAGATTGACACCCAAACACTCTGAAACATTTGTATTGGAACTTCTAGCATGAATGCCATGTAGTACAACATGCCGTTTCTAAATTTCTGGTAGAGTGAATTGCTTCATGGTGCATTTTTTCTCAGACAGTGCCCAACTGGTTCTACTATACAGTGCAGTCAAAAAAAAATAAACAACACACATGTGCAAAATTAAAAATATAAAATGGCGACAATTTACACGTCGCACCCTGTATATAAGTAGTGCTTTGTAAACAAATCAATTAGAGAGTGAGGAAGCAAAACTTGCAAAATTGTTGTGACCTTTGAAACTTGTTTATTAAGCATAAATAGGATTATTAATAAAACTCGGACAATAATTTTCCATTACTTTCATTTACAACCTCAACATGACCTCAAAAAGCTGCATAACTCTTAACTATGGATTCCTTAAACAACTTTGCCCACTCATCCTTTATTTAGTCCACAGGGGTAGATTGAGATATCCAGAAAAGGCATGGAACATGTAATTAGAACAATCTACCCCCATGGACTAAATAAAGGATTCAGTTTGAAAATCCAATATCACCTGAAGAAGGCTGGAGTATACAATGGCCAAAACATAGTGAATATGGCAATAAAGATGAAGTCAACAGTCTGAACGATGTAAATAGTTACAGTACCTCATCTCAAAAATATAAACATATACATTAAACATTATTTTAGTGGATACTCATATTTGAATAGACTCTCTGTTTATTTAGTAAACAATATATTTATTTTTGTCCACCAGTCTGAATATTCAAATAATCTTAGAGAAAAATATGTGCTCTACTAATAAGATTTCTTGAATATTCAGGCTGGTAGACAAAAATAAATAAATATACAGTTTAATAGGAGGCACAATGGAGTAATGGATAGCAGCTTGGATTGTGGAATTGGAGAGCTGAGTTCAAATTCCAGTCAAATCTATTATATTCACTTACATGCTAATACCCTAATGAATTCTCTTCTCCCCCCCAACGGAATGGGTAAATAACAGGACAGACTGGGTTCTATAGCCTTAGATGGCAAATGGTCTACTGCACAAAGAAATGGCAACCTACTGCGGGAAAGAAAAAAAATCTGCCTCGTCAAAAGATACATGATCACCTAAGCATGTGTTTCGCATGGCACATCACTGATTGACTTTTAATAAATAAACAGAGCATCTACTCAAATACAAGTATCCACTAAAAAATATTGTTTAAGTAATAAAAATATATCTGAGTAATAAGTAAATAAAAATTCCTCCCTTTTTTTTTTTATTTATATATATATATATATATATATATATATATATATATATATATATATATATATATATATATATATTTTACTGGATATGTGCATTTGAAATAGATGTCCCATTCTTATTTTAAACAGTGTGTATTATGTCTGTCTGCTTCCACACTCAAGAAATTTTAAAAAAGAAAATGTGATCTCCAGCAGGGTTTGAACCTGCACCCCTATCTGTAGGAGAAACCACCATTTGATTTGGCATGCTTTAGACCTTTTAACCACAGAGAACATTCTAGCCCCTATGCAGTGAATTAAGATATTTACAATACCAAATAATGTTTTTCTTGAAAATCCTAGTCTCTTTGAAGAAGAAAGTCAGCCCTTGAAATATCCAGTTTCATAACAATCAACATAATGTAGTGAATTTATTTTGTTGTCGTTGTTTTACCAAGGGCAAATCTGGTTGTTTTTAAAAGGCCACAAAACTATGGCCTTAGTTTGTTAAAATAATCAATTACAATCTTCTTTTTCTTATTGTTTTTTTTTCTTCTTCTTCCTCTCCCACTCTCAACAGCTTTTTCTCTTTCTTCTCATTTACTTATTTATTTTGTTGAAGGTTTCGAATTGTAGATGAAACATTTGTTGACACAACTCCCACGGGACCTGATGGTGGTTCTGAAGAAAGTGATGTTTCCGACGTAGAAGCTAAAAAAGTGCCTTACACATTGATTGTAAGTTGAAGAGAATTTTAGCATTTTTCTCTACTCCCATGACCCCACATTTCTTTATTTTTTTTTTAATCAACACAAGTTGGTTGCACATATACCAACTGGATCTCTTTTAAGCAATATGAGATGCACACATGATACCATTTACTGCCCCACCCATTCAATCGTTCCCCAAATCCTTTCCTGATAAGTAATCATTCTTCTCAACAATGAAGACACTCATTTTGATGACCAGTGGAATGAAGACAATAATTTATCACAGTACTTTAGTCCACACTATTTTACTTTCCATCTAATCTCTGACATTTTATTTACTATTTATTTATTATTATTATTAATAGGAGTAGATAGATTTGCCCATTGTCCGATTCACACTCCTCCTCAGTCTTTTGAACAGGAGTAGAGGTTTATCTCTTGTTTCCTATTTAGGATTGGGTTTCTAGTGCCTTCTAAAATCTACTTCAACTCTGTACTTGTAATGTCTCTGCCTAATCATTACTGATTTCTTTATAAAATTTACTGTTTTGCTAACTGTAAGTATATAGTCTCTGAATACTACTAGCAATATATATTTCTAAAATATAATCAAACATCAGATGTTTTTTTTTAAAAGGCTGCTTTGTCAGGCCACAAACATTTCAGCACCCTTCTTATCATACCAGTCTTTTGAACAGGTGCAGAGTTTTATCCCTCATTTCCTGTTCAGGATTAGGTTTCCAATACTTTCTAAAATCTGCTTCAACAGTATACTTTTTATATCTTTGCCTAAATTCTGATATTTATTTACTTTTTTTTTTTTTTCCTCACTTGAAGTAGATAGGTTCTCATATTGTCCTGTTCACACTCCTCCCCTGTTTCTGAACATGAGTAGAGGTTTATCCCTCATTTCCTGTTTAGGGTTGGGTTTCCAGTTTCTTCTAAAAGTCTCTTTTATTTTTCTTTCATGCTAGTAACCCCTTGCATCTTAGTGTCATCATTGCCTTGCTTGGGGTGAATTGATTTAAAAAAAAAAAATTAAGTAGCATGTAAACAATATATAATTGAAACAAAAATTCTAATTCAGTATTTTTTTTATCCTTTTTCTTGACAAAGAAAGTTTGAATCAAACCTTGAGCAATATCCTCAGATTAAATATAATTGAAACTAACAACAGGTGAATAAACACACTTTAATGACTAATGGTTTTAATTTAGTATCTTCGATACCGAAGTCAAATTTGTCAACCTATCAAATTCAATAGGAGTAGATCACCTATTTCCTGATTCACACCCTTCCCCAGTCTTTTGAACAGGTGTAGAGGTTTATCCCTTGTTTCCTTTTTAGGATTGGGTTTCTAGTTCCTTCTGAAGTCTTCTCATTCTCTTTCACTCCCACTAGCCTCTTGTATCCTAGTGGCATTATCACCTTGCTTGGCATGGATTGATAGAAAAAAAAGAAAAAAAAGACGTTAGTGCTGACCACTTTCCTTAACCTTGTTAAAATTTTCTTCCATACTAATTGAAGTAAAGTGTATTTCATGCCTTAGTCAGAGTTGATTGTAGTAGTTTGATATTTATCATTGTTAATGTAGAAAACCCAATCTCTCAAAAGTAGCTTGTTGAACAGAACTTGAGATTAATGTTGTCCTGTCAGTGATAGAATATTAGTTTAAGTTGAGTGGTTAGGGTTTTGGGGACAAGACAAAATTTTTAATTAAGATTCAATTATATTTGTTCTAAAAACAACTAATTTCTTTTAAAAAATTCATATTTGTAGTGATATTATATTAAGTATCTGTGATACACCTCTAGAACAAGTAGAACATTTTCCTTATCTAGGCAGCCTTTTATCAAACAAGTGCACCCCAGAAAAGGATGTGGAACAAAGGATTGAAGCTATACAAGGGGCATTTGGAAAGTTAATAAAATGTGTCTTCAACAACAAAGATTTGGACTTAACAAAAATTATGGTCTATAATATTGTTGTCATTTCAACTTTACTATATGATTACAAAACCAGACACTATATCATCGTGACATCCAAAAATTAAACCACTTTCACTTGCCAAAACTTTGTTCAATCTTGAACATCAAATCAAATTACTATGTGACCAACACCAAACTCCTGGAAAGGAGCCAACAGTCAAAGTATCGAATAACTGATCATTAAACATGGTCTTCGATGGTCAGGACATGTAGCAAGAATGGAAGAGTTAAGTTTTCCATGTCAAGTCTTATTCAGTGAGCTCATTTCAGGCAAAAGGCCACAGGGTTGCCCTTTTCAAAGATACAAGTACCAATGCGAACAACACTGAAAACCACTAAAACCATACCAACTGGTATCAGAACCAAAAAAGAATTGGTCTACTTAGTTATCAACACCATCATCATAAAGGAAGCGATCAGAAAAGAAGAAATTAAATTCTTGGATGCAAGATGACAATATTGAATTTTATTATTATTAGATAAAGCATTGGCATCTATTATTAATATTTGACTACTAAACATAGATAGGCTCCCCAATTAAAAAAAGGAAAAGCTTGAATCTTGCCAAGTGCTTATTCTTTATTTCTGATCTGTGCTGTTTACAGTCATAAAATAATTGAGTAGTTGCCAGGGCTTAAGATTAACATCATCCTGGGGATAGTAAAACATTAGTTTGGGACAACCGGTTAGATTTTGGGGGACAGTGCTGGGAGACAAAATAAAACTTTTCATTAAGATTATTTATTCTAAAACAACTAATTTCAACTAAGGTGTTTTCAGGGGATGTAAGTTTTGTAAATATTTAAGTATATCTTGAAAACGTCAACAGCAGGGGATGTCAGATTCATAAAGATATATAAGTATGTTCACAGAAGCATTAAATATCAGTATTCCTATTAGTTTTATTTTTTATACAATTGTTCTTATTAAGTGGGATCAGTTTTGTGTTAGTAGTTGTGTACAAATGTATGTAGGATTTATAGTGAGGAAAAAAGTGTATGTTTGTTTTTTGTTTTATTTTTAATACTGTGTTCTGTTGTCATTTTCAAAAAATAAGATGCTAAGAACTTTTACACATACCTAATAATTATCATTACTTAATTCACACATTTTTATTAATGATAAATTTTCAGTTACTCAAGGCAAATTTTTTCTTAATATTTACCAAACTTAAAAACTCATATGGAAATTGGGGAATAGGAAAATTTTCAGTAGGCTTCCAAGTGTTTGCCTTGAAAATCAACACTTCAAATCCTGTTCTTTTTCTTTTATTTTTTTTCCTAACTAGTTTGCAAATTATTATTTGTACTCCTTGCCCCCCCCCACTTGCAGACTTACTGACTGCCCATCCTCATATATACATGCACACACACACACACACACACACACACATATCACTTTGGCATTGAAGCTGTTTCAAACACAGACCACTAGAAATGGGAAATGAAAAAAATGTGCAGCTATCTCTACCAATTAATAAACTAACTTATTCTTAAATTTATCTCTGTTAACGGTTTATATAATATTTTTTCTTAGAAGATTTTGCTTTGTTTCCTAAATAATTTTAATGTGTAAATAAAATAACAAATAAATATCCCACAAAAAACAAAGATAAACCAATTCTATTGTGTATATTGATAAGAATTTTGTTTTCTTTCAGGGATCCATTAGTGAACCTGGACTTGGTTTGCAATCATGGTGGAACTCCTGACATTGTCTGTACACTCAGACTGTGGATCTTATGTTCTTTTTATATTACGTATATATATTATATATATATATATATGTGTGTGTGTGTGCATTTAGTTTATATTATTTTTGTAAGGTTAAAGTATCAGAACATTCATGGAGATCAAGCTCACTGGGCTGGCTGTCTGCAACACTTGCTTGCTAACCCTTGTGCTGTGCAAGCACATACACGCATGTCAATGAATAGGCATTTTGAAACACACATAATATAATATATATAATGCACACACACACTCAATCCACATTGAGTATAGGCTTATGTTTCAATATCTTGTTGCTGATGACGTCTCACTAATCCTGCAAAGGATTTGCATGTTACACTATATTTATTTCATATCAATCTCCCTGCAGTGGTTTGGTTTTCTGGATGCTGATATTTATAATAATGCCAGGTGAGTTCTCTGGCTGACCTACACATTTTGATACTAAGGCTGCAAGAGAAATCAAGCCGGATGACATATTGGTAGACAGTGGTGTTTCTATGATGTCATATTTCATGAACAGGCAAACTGAACTTTCAGGCCTCCACAAAAAATGGAGTTCAAAAGAATGGTTTTTCCCATGTCACCACTTTTATTTTAACTACTCCTCGGCCATGTTTAATGCTTTTAAAAATGGATGATTAGACTTGTAATAAAACCTAAACATACAATGAAAGTGAATTTATATGTTTGTTTTTGTTCTTGAGAATTTACAAGATATTAAACACTATTAGATTGTTTATTTACGAGAATAATGTTATATTTACAAAATTCTAAAGACGAATACAATTGTATTAAGACTAAGAGTGACTAATACAATGCAGTATTAATCATTTACCAATTTATAAAGAAATAAACATGAAAACAATTATTTTTATTTGTAAATTTATAAACATTTACTGAATTATTAAAATATGTGAATCTTACTTATTATAAAATGCAGATTGTGTGTGTCTGTACGTTTATATATTGGATCAGATTTCCTACATTTTTCAACCGATTTCAACAAAACTTTTTTTTTTTTTTTTGGCAGGTAATGTTTCTTATTGTCTTGTGCACTTTTTTTTTATTTTTACATTCGTAATGCTTTAAAAATTCCATTTACAAGACAATTGTTTATAGTAAAATTCTATTCAATCGATAGACTCATAACGATTGAAAACAATGTTTTTGTTTGAGTTTGACCAATTTGTAAAAAAAAAAAAAAAAAAAACTAACTAAGACATGCGTGTCTGTCAACCTTAAACAATAATCTTTTATTTTTCAGCCTTTATGGTGGTCAATACTTGATCTATCTCTTACTGTTACATCCCCGGGCAACGCCGGGCTCTACTGCTAGTCACCTATAAATAAATCCTTATTATTTACCATTTCATAAAGTTTGAATCTATTGGCAATTAGTAAATGTTTTGCCAATCATTACAATAAACAATATAATAAATTAATAGTGTTTATTAATTTTGTTGTCAATTCTCAAGAACAAAGAAAATGTATAAATTCACTTTCACATGTTTAGGTTTTATTGTAATTCTAATCATCACTTTTTAAAACTGTAAACATTGCTGAGGAGTGAAGGTAGTTAAAATAATAGCAGTGTCATGGGGGGAAAAAAGAAAACATCGTTTTGACACTCCATTCTTTTGCAAGCACAAAAATTCATGGTTACTTATGAATATGTCTATAGGATTCTGCTAAAGAACACATCAGGACCACAAATTTCAGTCTCTAAAGTGAACATTCCTTTTAAACAGATTTACCTAAAAAGGACAAAATATTACATGTACTTGAATCTGTTCTTGCACGATTGGTCCTAATAAGTGGCGATTCCTTGTAACCAATATGTTTATATTCTTTATAAAAATAAACAATTGTTATTGATGAATTGTATTGTTTTAATTGAAATTCTTCTGTATTCCCTTTCTGATTTTCTTTTCACAATCAATTCTGTTTCCAGATAAATTGTCTTAGTGAAAACAAAATATTGAAATTTGATTTGAACAATGTGTGAACAAAAAGGAGACAAAAATGTAGTTTCAATAAAAGCTGAAATATTTTTAACAAATGATACAAAATCTTCATCTTTGAAGACAGTATGAGGTGAAATGGATACATCTTATTGAACAAGAAATTTCACTAAAGAAAGTCATACAAACACTGAGTGTATGTTTATGAGTTTGGGCAGGTTACAAAGGTAGACAGTTTTTATACAGGCTGTCGCATAATAAGACATTAGCAAGTGGCAACACTGCGAGACAGTAAACATTTCGCCATTTAGAATTCAAGATGAAATTCACAGTATCCCAGCTGAGATGTTGCAGCAGTCAATGAGGAATCTCAACAGCAGATTTCAAGAATGCATTTGTACAGGAGGATGCCATCTAGAGGACGTAATTTTTAAAAAATGAAAATTCCATCATTGTTTCTTAAATGGCATGTTTTAAGGTTTCAATTACTATGAATAAAATATTTTTCTTCCATCACCCTTGGTTTTATTGGATTGTTAAAAGTTTCCATTTTTTTGGGGGGGTCCTCTATATATATATATATATATATATATATATATATATATATATATATATATATATATATAAAAATGAGAAAACCACAAACATGTTTGGTAGTAATATGGATTTTTTTTAAAAATGTATATTACGCTTTTTATTTTCCATAATTTTGCAACATGTGTTTCTGGTTAATTTTTTCTAGAGGGGTTAAAATTCATGGAGTTTTGATGAATATAACCTATCTGGTAGCCCTACATTCTCACAATACCTTTGGCTAATCTTAACAGCCCAGAGTAAAGGAGCTACCACAGCCAGGCATGAATGAAACCGATTGTATGATTATTTATGGAAAGTGATTTTTTTGTGGTAGTCTTGTATAAAAAAGAATGAAAACTATTTATTTGCTATAAAATATGCCCAGTACAGCAATATTTGACCTACTAGGGTTGCATTATACATGTGTTCTATGAAAAAAACAAACAGATTTTTCACAAAAACATGCAGGGGTCGCACTATACATGAAGTATGCTTTTACACACACATATAAATACTGAGTTTAATAAACTAGAACATAACTGTCATGGATAAAATTATTTGAAAAATATAAGTGTACCATATAAAATAAGCACCATGATGTGTGTAGAAGATTAAAGAGTATACTTTAATCCTCTCAGTAATTGTATTTGGTACACAAGTGTGTATAAACATCCAATTTAGAATCTTAGTCCAAACAATTTGTGAAATGTCATAAACATATATAAGGATTGTCTAAAAGAACAGAGTTTTCTAATGTGTGAAAATTTTTGTAATTTAAACCAAAAGAATACATGCTAAAAACTTTTGCACATAGCTAATATTTTTTCATATAGATTTCACAAACTTCTCTGAACAGAAATGAGTGGAATAAAAACAAAATATATGTATAATGATTCATAATGAGCAGTAATAAACAGAATGAACCTTTATGAAGATTTGAACTCACATCACTGAAAAATCTGTTTGCCTTCCTGTCTGGAGTAGCTGCTTTGTTAATTAGGTCATAAAGAATGAGAAAAAGAATGAAAGTGGATTGTTATTTATTGCTGATCTGTTCGTAATTAATGCCAGTAGAACGACAATCTAAGAATTGCAGCCTGGTGCTTTTGTTTTATATTTAGAAATTCTTGACAGAATCCAAAGAAGAATCTGCAGCATTATCAGTCCTGCTCTAGCATCTCAGCTTCAGTCAATTTCCTGACACTGTAACGTAGCTTCTCTTAGCCTTTTCTATAAATATTTACATGGTAATTGTTCTAATAGGCTATCTTTGTTGGTACTTCGAATTTCTAACTTTAAAGGCAGTACTAGATTGGCAGTTAAGTCTCATATAATTTCACTGTTGAAATTGCTAGTTGTAACCACAAGTTCTATGCTAATAGTTTCTTCTGCCATTCTTGCTTGTTGAACTGTCTTCTGGCTTCCTGCTTTCCTATCAACTACAATGTTCATAAATTTAAATGCAATGTCAATCATCATCTTCTGTCTCCTTGAATTGTATAAAAGCCTTAGAAACTAATGTTACTAAGAAAAAAGAAGGAAGATGAAGTTTTATTATTTATTTTGAAGATTAATTTTTGACAAATGTTACGGCTCAGCTCAATAGAATTTTCGTAAAGAAAGACCAAGAGAACAAATTTAGTTCTCTGTTTATTTTTCAGTTCCAGCAAAAAAAGTGGAGGCTAAAGCTCCTCCATTCCTCTCTATAAGCACCATGGTTACAAAATATTGTATTGCACTTGTATAAAAGACCCATCTTCTTTCAAAATTAACATTTGAAATCCTAGCTTCTAGTTTTTATTTGGGCTTGAACACCAACACAAGTGTGCATGGACAAACAGTAGGGTAGATGGAGGTCATTTGTTCCCCATCCTCCTGAATCAGTAGGTCATTTGCACTCATTAAAGGATAATAGTACAGTGCAAATTTTTTTGCCATATAAATTGAGTGATTGATTTTTTACAGCTTATCAACCTTTTGCAGATTATTTAAAGCCAGAAAATGTTTTTAGATTGTAAGAATTTCTTGGAGATAATAGTGATTTACTGATACAAATCCTACTAATTAACCCATAGTTAGGGGGATTCATACTTTTCCCAAGATTATTTGCAAGGAAGTGAATATTATGAACACAACTGGAATTGAAACTCGCCTCTCTGTTTTCGAATTCCAAATCATTATTCATTACACCACCTGCACATCCAAGCTTACAGCACCTGGTATGTGGTAGACTGTTCTATAACTAATAAGTGACATCCATTAGACATGATACGTGGAACTAGAACAGTCTACTTCAGTAAACGAAATAATGGGTTCAGTTCGACATTCCAGCCACCTGAAGAAGGTTGGATTGTACAATGGCCGAAACGTTGGGATAAATATGGCAACAAAGATATGGACAATAGTCCAAAATAGTAAATAGTGTAAGGCTGCTAAAACAT